TGCTACCGCAGATGCACAGGCCGAGGTGCCCGTTGCCAAGAAGAACAAGACCGCCACTGTGGCATAAGCGCAAGACGCTGTGTAAATATGGGATTTCTGGAGTTGGTTGTTTCCTTTACTACTGTCAGGGGTGTATTTCTTGAGCATATCTGCATGTATTCCGGTTACGGAAAAGTTTATGAGTTTTTGATACCTGGACCGAAAAGCCCAGTGGCATCGGCAACGTGTGTAGCACTGTCAAATGATAGACAACGAATCAAAAGCGCTTGCAAGCCAAAAGTATCTCCTCTAGCCTTGTCAATTTGGCGCGTTGCGGTTTGCCACATGCCTGCCAGTTGACCCAGACCGCGGAGGTGTCCAGGTGGAGACCCTGCATGAAGGGGCGCGTGCACGCTTTCTTCATCGTCCCGACCGCCCCCTCCAAAATACCCCGAGGTCAGGACTTATTCCAGAAGCCTCAATTGCTCTCCCTACGCTCTTGTCACGATTCGCAACCATGGCCACTATCGAGACTGTTACTCAGCAGCCTGAGATCACGGCGGAGAATGTGCTGCGCCTCTTCCCCGAAGTCAACACGGCACTCATTGGGGGATCGCACAACTCGGCCACGAGCGACAGTGCGCTGCAAGGCTATGATGAGGAGCAGATACGGCTGATGGACGAGGTGTGCATCGTCCTGGACAACAACGATATTCCTATCGGCAGTGCGACCAAGAAACTCTGTACGTGGCTCCGCTCGCGACTCGTCGATGGATAGCGACTGACAAGCTCCAGGCCACTTGATGGAGAACATTGATCGTGGACTCCTCCACCGCGCATTTTCCGTCTTCCTCTTCGACTCCCAGAACCGCCTCCTTCTGCAGCAGCGCGCGACCGAGAAGATCACATTCCCGGACATGTGGACAAACACCTGCTGTTCGCACCCGCTGGGCATACCTGGAGAGACTGGCGTAGGACTAGAGGAATCCGTCCAGGGTGTGCGTCGCGCAGCAGTGCGCAAGCTCAACCACGAACTGGGCATCAAGGCCGAACAGGTGCCCATTGACGACTTCAAATTCCTTACACGGATACACTACAAGTCGCCCAGTGATGGCACCTGGGGCGAGCATGAGAGTAAGTTGTGCCACTTGGCCATCAGCATACGGGACGAATGCTTACCATATACTAGTTGACTACATTCTGTTTATGAAAGCCGATGTCGACCTAAACGTAAACCCGAACGAGGCGCGCGACTCCAGATGGGTGTCTCAGGAGGATCTCAAGACCATGTTCCAGGACAAGTCGCTCAAGTTCACACCGTGGTTCAAGCTCATCTGCGAAAGCATGCTGTTCGAATGGTGGGACCATCTTGACTCTGGCCTGGAGAAGTACATGGGCGAGACCGAGATCCGGCGCATGTAAGGCATGCGAAGGAGCTGTCATCAATCTCCCCGCCGCTATCCGAGCGTACCGATCCCCAGATGCTTGGCCGAGACCTGCCCCCATTTCCGAAAGTGAGGCGGTACGTGCATGCAGGCCCGGCCTTTTAGATACCACCACTGCCATTTAATCCAGTCATTGACCATTGCATTGTTCCCCACGCTCATTAGTCGTCATGGCTTTATCGTGTGGACATCAAGGCGCGCTCCTCTCCTATCGTTGCTTTCCCATGACAGTGTGTGACAGTTGATCCATGCTGACCCCGCCGTATGCTATTCTTCAGCTGATTGACTAGTGGAATCAAGCCAAAACGCAGATAACAGTATCGCGGAAGAGTTTCGGATGTTTGCTTTATCATTAGCTGTCAGAGGGAGTAGCCTTGATGGTGGTCTCACTTCTGCGCTTATCCGTTGTGAGGAGGTCCAGCCGAGGTGTGCAGCTCAACCCTTCCTGTTTACCCCACAACCTCTTCCCAGGCGCCCTATGTCACCGCGCTACTCTATCGCCACGTACGTATCCTCGCTACAAGCGACTCGCAAACAAGCTGTGACCTGTGTCGCCAAACGATTGGCAAGCAAGCAACAAAGCAACGTCTTCGTTGAGCCGCTTCGGCCCGACACCAAGTCCAAGGTCACAGGGCGAATGATAACGAAACTCGTATGCTTAACGGGCTAAGCGGTTGGTCCGAAGATAGCTCCCGCATTGAGTTATGTGAAGCATGACCTGTACCTCCACCCGGCGGCGCTTGGTACGCCGATCAAGCCGGGCAGGTGAGGTATATCAAAGTCCAGACTTCCCATCTTCATCTCCGTCACAGACACCCACAGCTTGTCAATCCTCGTCCCATACTACATCAGCTTACTAGCCACTGTGCCCCCACGGCATACGCATCTTACTGCAGCCGAGCTGTGCAATCCTTCACGATACGCAGCTGCTGCCGCTCGACATCAGCCAAGCATCGTACTGCAGTGCTGTCACTGGTCTTGTGACAAAGCTGCCAGCGAGTCAAAAAGCAAAGCCCAAACTCTAAGCAGCCATACATCAACTGCCACCAGTCCACACACACAAAGATTGGCACATCGACGGCCCAGGCGCATACTATCTACGCAAGACACGCAAAGGTTGGTACATCAATAGTCACAGGCGCATACCATCGACGCAAGACTACCTCATCGGACTCACACCCTACGACGTATCTGTCAAGCGTGTACTCAAAAAGGACCTCTGCAGCCTCACACATTGATGTCGGTTGATCTACGTCAAGCCTTCACTTCTTTACGTTACCCTTCTCGAGTCGATACCGTCTCGAGATCGCAGCTCTCTAGAGTCCATACAGGAGATCTAAATCGTCCGGCTAAAACGTAAACACCCACCAACAAGCTCAGAAAAGGTATACCAATGTAGCAGGCAATCGACGGTCACGGCTCCTGCTCAGCCCACGACGACCCATTGTAGCAATCAGACTAGACTAATCACAATTTAGTAGTGTTGTTTGAACTCAAGGTCGTCGTCTTGATATCCCGCAGTTCAAGTGACTAACGTCTCACCCACGCCGAATTCCGTTCAAGCCCTGCGGGGAACACCTCACGCTGGCGAATTCGACGACTGTCCCCATAATTAAACGAAGCGGCAGATCCCATCTGAATACTAGTAGAGGCTTACAGTCGAAACCACAATCATGGCGAAAACATTCTCCCCTGTTGCGCCAGTCAGCTGTAATTATACAGTGGACGCGAAGTCTTCAACCTTGAAGTCGGCTAATATCAGGGTCAATGAAGTACCGGCTAGCTTCAGGATCTTGAAGCCGAAGTCAACTTCTGCTGGCGCTATTGTTCTGCCTCCGCTCACCGACGGCGTTCGCGTCGTTACGGCTGCGGAGTACAAGCAGGCTGCTGAGTGTCTGGCGGAAGCCTTCGGCCAGGACGATGTTGCGAGATACTTCGTAGACGTGCCCGATCGTGCGCACTGGACTGCGGAGCAAAAGTGGGCGCTACATGTTGAGATTCTCGAGTACATAACCTATGCTCACATCCTCAAGGGACTAGTGACTACGGTGGGCGACTTTGAAGCAGTTGCCCTATGGTAAGTCTTGAAGATAACGAAGGCTTCGTGAGCTCACGCATCTAGGATGCCACCCGGCCAGAACATGGACGATTATCTGACCATATTCCGCTCTGGCATGTGGCGCCTCAACTACCGCCTCTCCGCCGAAGGGAAACGGCGCTTCTTCGACGAGTTCATGCCCCTCCTCCACGACACTATGCACACCACGCTTGGTCAGCGAGAGCATGACGCCTGGTACCTTGTTTACCTAGGCACTAGGCCCAGTGGCCGTGGCAAAGGTCACGCTCGTAAACTCATTGAGCATGTAACGAAGCTCGCGGACCGCGAAGGCAGACCATGCTATTTGGAGTCGAGCAACGCCACGAACCCTCCGATTTACAGAAAGTTCGGCTTCGAAGAGACGAGGCAGATCAACCTTCAGAGGGGCGGAAGAAATATCCCGCTGGACATCATGGTCAGGGAACCCATGCAGAGCATGGAGAAGAAGAGGGGCTTGTAGGAGACTGACAGGGCACTGAGGGCATAACACCATTTCAACATGCGTGTCCCGAGCAAAGATGTTGACTTGTGTAGTAGGAGTTTGAAGTATCCTTCAACAGGATCTTGTCTAGAAGAGGCGTAGGCCGGAGTTGTTGAGTTCATTCGCTCGTTCTGCCTAGAATTAAGGCTGTAGTCCGCAACTGCAATTATGATTTTCTGAAGAACGACAAGTGATTGAAACGTATTCCGCAACTTCAACTATGATTTTCCGAAGAGTGATGAGTGATCAAAACGTATTTAGTTGCCAGCGCATCGTATCAGAGGCGGAATCAGAATCCTTGAGTTGAAGCTCTTCCGAAATAAGCTCAGGCTAGAGAGACGCAGCGATAGTTCCAACATAAGCAAAACTCGTTTCACCTACCCAACAGGCCGTGAAAATAGGATGCGCTGACATGACGCCATGGAGTGCGGATCGCAATATCGTGATAAGCCAGATTCGTAACCCATGGTTCCTCAGTATTGCGGGATATGGAATATTGGTTAGACGAGAGATTGGGGTGGAGCATGATAATCGTCGGGTGGGCAGTGCAGCATTGACGACAAATTGCGGTGTCATGAAACGCGGCATTGTTGCCCAGTTGCCAAACATGCTACGCCCTTCATCTCCTGATGATCCGCTGAGGCCGACTCTATAGCTCTGTCTTCTCGCGCACCTGTTCGTAGTGATTGATCTAGCGACTGTCCTCTAGCTTCATCTCAGCAGCGTAATCGATAAAAAAGTGGTGTCGGCCCACTCGCGAATCCGCTTTCTCAGTCCACTCGGCCGCATCCGCAGCGCTACTCAACGCACCCCGCAAGCCTCGCCCATTGCCCATTGCACGCGTCGAGGGCCTGCAGACGGTCATCGTGCAGCCTGCCAGCACATCCGCGCGCAGGTGTTTTGCTGGAGCCTGCCACCCAACACCACGTAATCCCTCGCCCTCGCACCAAGTTCCCCCCTTCGCATTCCCGCTCCCGCCCATTTACCGCCATATACCATGGTTACCCAGCGCCGATACTCGGTCACGGGCCAGACGCCCCCCGACGATGCCGAAGCCATGAAAGCGCGCTCTCCCAAACTGCAGCCTCTGGATACTAGCGTGCAAACGCCCCCGTGCGGGTATTGTGACGGCGCGCCGGAGCTGAGTTCAAACAGCGAGGCCAGCGCGACCGCCCAGCGGAGAGGGAGAAACATGGCCCAGAAGGGCACTATCGTACGCACATCAAGCAAACGATCCGCAACCCAGCTGCCTTCGCCCAGCTCGCCCACGCACCAGCTGCCGCCCAAGATCCCGAGATACAGACTCAACGTGGACATAGACATCAGCTCCGACACAGACACGGATTCGGATGATACGGATCTCCTGGGCGACGGGAGCGACCATGACTACTGCCACGGCGTCGAGAGCCAGGCTACCTCGTTCCCATCGACGCCTGAGCACTCGCAGCCCTATGGCGTGTCGAGCCTGCCCGATGCCACACGCCTGGAAGGGCTGCAACTGTATGCAGAAGAAAGGCCCGACGATGATGAGCACATGGACGACTACGCGCTCTCGCCCTCCCACTCCAGAAATCACAGCCTGAACCGTGTGCAACTCGATGGGTCCAACGACGTACAGAAGGATTGGGCCGCACATATTGCCTCTCACAAAGAGGAGGCTGAGATTGTTCACATGGAAGATGTCCAGGTCACGTCTATCCAAGAAACACACACAACTCCCGCCGAAGACACGACCCCCGCCCCGCCCACCTTCGTCACCCTCCCGCCCGAGATCCGTCACCAAATCTACCGAAACTGCGAGAACCTAGTCATCGATAAGCCCCTCGTATACTGCATCTCTACCTTCGACGGCCAAATGCAGCACGCCCTCGCTTCCGTGTCGCGCCTCGTCCGCTCCGAAGCGCTCGCCATTTTCTACAGCTACAACCTGTGGGTCATAAAAGTCGAGTTCAAGATGATGTACGAAGCCTTCCGAGACTGGATCATTCGGCTGGGCGACGGCGCAGGGCTTTTACGGCTCGTTAGCTTTTCAGTGCGCGGTGCGCTGTTCAAGCCCAGACGGAGCCACACACAGAGCATGCTCATCCACGGGCATCTTGTGCAGCTCGCTCCAGGTGTTATCGGGCCTGCGCCAGCATCGCAGGAGGACTTCTACTGCCCGCCAGACGGTGACGCGAGCTTCAAGATCGATCTCAGTGAGAAGTTTGCTGGTGGAAAAGTGCAGCTCGTTAGGAACGATGGCACCAGCGAGGCGGGAGAACAGGCGAGACTTCGTTTGGGCAGGATGGTAAATGTGCTGTGGGAGAAGAGGCAAGCTGGTACACTCAATGGCCAGGATTGGATTGACATGGTCGATGGCTTCATCACCTTCATCGGGGGGTGGTAACACCAACCTGCGAAGCTGAACAGGCCTGGAGCCTACATCGACGTCAGGCCACCTACTTCACATGTGTTCATGTTAATGTAGGCTGCAGACCTGTTCAGATTTTCTTCTTGTATGGGGTGGTAATGAGGAAGACAGTCCTTCTAGGTGCACACGGTGTTGTGGTATATTGGTTATGTAATGGCGTATAGCATGAGATTCACGACGTTCTGCATGGGCTGGGGCGTTATCTGGGATGTCAAAAGGTTGGGGCAGGGTCATTTATCGAACATTTCGTATCATCTCGTATCATTTCAAAGGGTAATGATGGGGGTTGAAGAGGAGGTAATCGATTTGTAGACAGCTTTTTGCTTGTAGAAATATTCATATACCCCTTTACAAAAACTGCCCTGCAGGCTACATTAAAGATGAAAACAGGCGAAGTAGATGACCTAACATTGATGTAGCCTCCAGGGTGTCCATTTTTTCCTAGGTCGACGTGAACGTGTGCTCGGAAGACGGAAGCCTTTCAGCAAACAACAGGCCATCCTCCACCTTAGATGAGCTGGCGATCCGGGGTCTCGGACTTCTCCTATTCCGGCTGGCACGTGCGTCTTGATAATGAAGAAAAACCTCACGATGCTCGCAAAGTGCAGAGTACCAACCGAAAGAGCGAAATACATTCCTTTCGCAAACTGTCCATAATTGGACTGGGTCACTCCTTCAGTTCCTACTTCTTGTGTTAATACGTTCCTCACAAAGTGTGACAACAACACCAAAATGCGCATCCTCCTGGGCCTCGGCGCCATCCTCGGTGTCCTAACCACCTTGATGTACACGCTAGACTCACACCTGGAGAAATTCTACATCTTCACGCCTTCCGGCCTACACACCCTCTCTCAAGAAGCCATTGCCCTACACGGAAACGACACAGCATCCGTCGTCTCCCACATCGTCACTTCCCTCTCCGCAATCCACGGGCCCCACATCAACCTCGACGAAGAATGGATTTTCAACAACGCAGGCGGTGCCATGGGCGCCATGTACATTATCCACGCATCTATTACTGAGTATCTGATTGTTTTTGGTACTGCGATTGGGACGGAGGGTCATACGGGACGGCATACCGCGGATGACTACTTCCATATTCTCAAGGGCGAGCAGGTGGCTTATGCGCCTGGCAAGGGCGTTTATGGGGCTGAGAGGTATCCGCAGGGGAGTGTGCATCATCTTACTAGGGGTGATGTTAAGCAGTACAAGATGGAGGGTGAATGCTTTGCGCTGGAGTATGCGAGGGGATGGATCCCGCCTATGCTTGGGTTTGGGTATGCTGATAGTAAGTTTCTCTCTCCTTTATTACTCCGATCTCAGTTTACTCTTCAGTTCAAGACTAACTGATGGATAACAGCCTTTTCGAGTACGTTGGATTTCCCAACGTTGTGGAGGACTACCGTGGTTACCGGGCGGGAGATGATTGGAAACCTGATGATGGGCAAGTTGTGAGAGGAAGGCAAACTTTGACAGACGAGAGTTTGTATGGAGTTCACATTTCTTGTAAGATTGAGTCATTGTTCATACTCCTTCTACTTAGACGTTAGAACACGTCAGCACATTATCTATACTGTAGAGCCTACATCAAGACAAAAACATGCAAAGTACGTAACCCAACGTTAATGTAGGCTCTAGACCTGTTTATTTCATTTTTTGTATGAGTTGTCAGCATGCTTGCGCGAGAGAGTGTAGTACTGTGCACAGACGTTAGACACTCCACAGCCAAGCGGCTCTATGACATATGTATAGCTGTCTAGGTTTGATGCACGATGTAGTTCCTTCACTGTCAGTGCCCTCTATACGTCATACCGATCAATGCCGTGTCGGAACTACGGCACTTTCGACCAGACCATGTAACCAAGTTCCTTGATCAGAAGGGCGGAGTTGAATTCCCTGCATGGAATGCGTATAATGGTCATCTGGTAGTTGCAGCTAGAATGCCGTATTCCAGTAGTGTGCTGTGTGTGCAAGGATGGGGAGACACTGCCCAGCGCGGGGAATTTTGACCGTCTCGCAAGCGACGTCTACCCCAACATGTGTGTTGTGAGCATCCTGATTGGCATGGGCTTATGTTGACAAAGACCGCGATATCCGTTCTGCCAGCTGCAAGTGTACACCGAGTATGGCGTCAGTTTAGGCTGAGGACTCGGGATGCGGCGGCTGGAGCCAAGAGGTGGTGGGCAACGGTGGACGAGACTGGCCGGTAGACCTGCTCGAGACCCGATGCTATTATAGGAGGTGCAGAGAGCTAGATGATGGCAGACGATGCTAGTCGTGTCAAACTTTGGGCTAGCACACGTGCTATCGAAAAGCTTTTCTCCAGTGCGACGACAGATGGAAGACGTAGGTGAAAGCATACGGCTGTGACGAAGGGGCTGGGGTGGAGAGCTGGAAGAGGCTGGGCAATAAATCAAGCATTCCGGTTTGGAAGAGCCGTCGTCTCAACGGGCCAATATGGAGGCAGCGAACGAGTGCAGGGGTTGGGCTGTGGCTGTGGCCGGAACACGGGTGCAATTATCGAAATACGATTACCCAGACGCGGTGCGTCGGGGCGTCGAGTGCGTAGGAGGCGTGCCGCGCGCTCCAAGGTGGTCAAGCTGCCGCGAGGATCCACGTCTTTCCCTTGATCGAGGTGGAGGGCCATGACGAGGCCTGGCTCGAGGGTAAGACGGCACAGGATCGAGGGAAGGATCATGATGCGGATTCGGAGCCATGGCGAAACAAGGCTTATTGAGCCTCCTGCGGCGGATCATTCGTGGCTAAGGGTTCGGTAGCCGCTCAGATTGGCGTGGGTGCAGATCTGAGGGAGCCACCACAATTAGAAACGGACACTTGCTCGGAAGAGCTGACGCGTAAATCCTCTTTTCCCAGCACAACGCGCAACGCTGCTGGGTGGACGAGCGAGCAGCGTGGGATGCCATGCCCGCAGCCATGGCCAGCGACCCACTGCAGCGTTTGAGGTCGCGCGTCTCAGACGGGGCTGCTTGGTGTCGCAGCGTCCGGGAGGGCGGCGGCTCGTGATGTCATGTGTTGTTGAGTCTGGTGGTCTGGCGCGTCCTCTGGTGTCGCTCGGGCCGGCGCCACTTTTGGCCCAGTTAGTGACGCATGTCTGAAAGCGTTGACACGCTGCCGCCGCCGTCCACTCATCATCGACCCTGGCTGCATGTCCTGCATGTCGCTCGCTCTCGTTTCCTGTGATAACCTCCCCTGCGCTCGCTTTTCCTGATTGCTAGTTGACTTTACTTTCCGCTGTTTCTTTACTCTTTGCATTCGCTTGCTCCGCTCGGGCTCCCCTCTGCCGCCATGTTGCCCTCGTTATCTGCCCGCAGCCTGGCCCTACTCTCGCTACCCGCCGTGCGCATTGCCCTCGCCCAGTCCATCTCGATATCGCTAGGGAACAGCCCGCCCGATGGCGCCTCCGACTACCTCGACCCCTCGTATGCCGGCTTCGGCATCGAGCCCTCGAACCTCTTTTCCTTCACCGGCAAGGAGGAGCCCAACCAATTCACCGTCAAGCTGCTCCAGAACCTCGCAGACTACTCGGGCGCGCCGCCGCACATTCGCCTGGGAGGAAACACGCAGGATTACATGGTCTTTGAGTCGAGCAACACAAACTATGGCTGGACCTCGAACCCGGACTCGACGGCACAGGGTGCCATTGCGGCCGACTCGATGATCATTGGACCCAACTACTTCGCCGCGCTCGAGCGCTTTCCCAAGGACACGCCCGTCACCTTCGGACTCAACATGGCCTACATGGACGACGACTACGAGGATAAGATCACCGCACTGGCGCAAGCCGCCGTCGACGGCATGAAGAACGTCAAACTGTACTCGTTCGAGATTGGCAACGAGCCCGACCTGTGGCTCCAGAACTCGTTCCGCTCTGCGCCCTGGGACGGAAAGACATATACTTCCCAATGGCTGGACCGCGCCGAGGTCGTCTATGAGCGCGTGCTCAAGGCTGCCAACCTGCCGTCATCCTTCTTTGAGTCTCCTGCGACCGCCTCCACCATCGGGACAACCTTCGAGATTGCGCAACTCGTCGACGATGGCATCATGGAGGGTAGGAACGGCGACAACTTCCTGGCCACCTGGAATCAGCACGACTACTTCTATTGTATGTCGCCTTCCCCCTAATCCACATGCTGTACTAACATGCTGCAGTCATCGGAGTGACCCCCACCCCCCTCACTCTCGACGACCTCATGGACCTCGATGCCACCAACACCCAATTCAAGTACTGGGAGAAGCAGGTCGGAATCGCCCTCAAGACAGACCACCCCTACGTGCTGCGCGAGATGAGCTCCGTTGGGCCAATAGGCATGCCCGGCGTCAGTGACACCCTCGGCGCTTCCCTTTGGACGCTCAACTTCTTCCTCTACGCAGCCTCCATTGGTATCTCTTCGGTCCAGATGCACATGACCGACAACTCCAACGCTAGTGCCTGGCAGCCCATCCCCATGTACGGTCGTGAAACCTCGTTCGTACGACCGCAGTACTACGCCCATGCCGCCGTCGCACAGATTGTCGGCAACGGCAACGGAACCACGCAGATTGCAGCTCTCTCTACCAGCAACGTAGGTGCTGCGTACGACGGTCGCATCCGTGCGTACGCCGCCTACGCAAACGATCATCTGCAGTCCATCACTATGATCAACGCTAAACAAGCCAATGCGTCTTCGTCCGACAAGGGCAGCTTCACGTTCAACCTTAACCTGGGCTCTGCACACGCCAATAAGGATGTCTTCATCTCTTACCTCACAGGTCCTGGCGCAGAGTCGCAGACAGATATCACATGGAACGGCATGAAGTACGACGACATTACCGGCGCGTCCTCAGTCACTGACAACACTGTCACAACCACCAAAGCCGACGGCAACGGCAGGATTTCTGTTCCCGTCCGCGACAGCCAAGCTGCAGTAGCAAACATCGGCTCCCAGATAGGCACCAACGCCGTCCTCAAACCAGACGGCACGCAGGCGAAGAAGAGTAATGCCGCTTCGACCCCGACCGGCGGGGCCAACTACGCAATAATAAGTGGTCTGTTGGCCATGATGGCGGCATTCATCGCCGCGTAATGGCAGGTGTAGCGAGCCATATTTTCCTTTGTCAATCAACCCAAGCATCATGGAATTGCATATGCATTATGACGGCGTTCTTCTTGCGATAGCAGGCTTTTCATCCGCATCATTCATGGTCAGGATACTCCGCCTCATTGCTTCATCTGGGATTTGGATTAATCGGTCATGCGGACGGGGATCATTAATGACACGCGACACAAAGACTTTTTTTTCTTTTTTTGTTGGAACAGGATATATAGGCGCGATGACGGCGCCTGGAGTGTATATACACGGTTTCTATTGCATCAAAGCCAGCACACGCTGTACCCTGATGGTTAGATTCTAGATTTCTAGAACTGCAAATCTCATACCTGATACCCTTTCATGATCATTGTTCCGTTCAAAATGGGCTTACAGCTTCGAACAAACAAATAAGTCGTGCTTGTATTGCAACACCTCGTGTGAGATCGTCGTGAGACGCAAGTGGAGATGGAGTTAACTAAGCTTTTCAGGCTTCCAGTCTTACCGCGGGGTCGGGATCGGAGGTTGCAGCAGGTACCGTTGCCGCGCCCGCTTCTGGCGCGCGGCGTTGGTGGCGAACATCGTGGGACGCCCTGCGTTTTGACTTTTTCTCGGTAAGCTCGGGGCAAGGGATTGCCAGAGGCAGAGTACAAAAGCTTTGTTTTATGCAGGCCAAGGTACCTGCGTAGTCTCGGAACTGTTATGGGTAGTGAGTGTATTTATAGTTGGTTTGGTGTGAAAGAAAGAAGTGTAAAGGTACCTAGGTAGCTGCGGTCTGGTCAAAGGGATGCGAAGACATGGATTAATATCTGAATGGGCGCGAAACCCACGCCATGTATCGTTAGCAACCTTGGAAGTGTCGTATTCGAGGGCAGCCTTTGTCGTGCTGGTATCCTCTCCAAGGGAATTGCTCAATACCTAGGTAGTTAATACCCTACAGCCTACATCGACGCTACGTCTTTCTACCTGCATATTGTTGTTCTAACGTAGGCCTCAGGCTTATTTGAAACATCTCTTGTGTAAGGTGATAGGAGGAATGTATCCCTAACATCTATATATGCTTTGATTACTACTTCCTTTGACGTTGGCGCTATCGTCCTTGTGGGCGAGGTGCTACAACCGGTAGCTGAAAGCTCCTTTCATACTTCCAGCGCATTTGTCCAACTTGTACGTTGTGATTAGTGCAAGATCAGGCCTACTATCGCGGGATACATATCGGCGCAGAAAGTGAAAATGCAGGCTAGCTGATGTGAATGATAGGCGTCATGCTCTGTTTCTCTAGAAGCAGTTCAAGGAGCATTACCAAGGTAGTTATAATTCTGGTTACTCAAATTTGGAAGACCACATTGTACTATGACTTTACTCGAC